ACTGGTATTACCGGTGTTGTCACACGTCGATTAACCGGTGGGAAAATTTCCTCACCGTCACAACCCTAATGTACACTGTGAAAAGGATTTGACAGATAACCTAAAACATTTGATCTTGATTTATCTAGGTCAGTTACTATAAGCCAGAATCAAGCTGAACTGGTTAGTTTAGCAAAATGAATAAAAAAAAACAAAAAACAGATGAGTGAGTTGCATCTATTCACTTTTCACATTGAGTGGTTCTATTGATCTGTATTTGACATGCTGAGCTTCTTGAAGCAAATGCATCAGACTGGGATCGTGAGCTATTACTCATCATAGTGTGTTATGGAGTATATATATATATATATATATATATATATACACACCTGTCTTTAGCCACACACACACAGCTGTTGAACGAGAGCAGCACTTCAGCAGTAACACCCCGCTATTTCCATCAGAGATTCCAAACCACATGAGTTCATATGGGATTCATTTCACAAAGATCTTTAGGTTTCGATTTAATACTAAATTTTGCAAATAAATACATAATCAAATAATTAAATGCATCAAATGTTGCATTAAATAAATAAAATACAATGAAATTATAGCATAAAAAGGCAAGGAAAAATATTTATTATTTCATGAAATTAAAAAGGACGTGAAATACCACATGAATACACTTTAGAATGCTAAATGAAATGTATACCTTAAATAAAATGTAGCAGACAGATGGAGAATTTGCATAAAGCAAATCTATATTAAAATAAAAATATCAATCCTGAAAATAAATACATCATAAAAATGCTGCAATCAATAAACGTATGCATAATGAAAGCGACTAAAAATAAATAAATTGCATAAAATGCAAATTATTTATGCAAAATGAAAAGTGACCCGAAATACAATTTCATTGTACTTGATTTATTTGAAATAAATATAAATTTTCATTGCACTTTTATTTTATTTATTTATTTAGTGTGCTTTAACTTATTTATTTATTGCAACCGTAATAAATATGAAATATGTAATCATTGCATTCATTTTCTTTATTTAATTCAGTCTGTTAAATCCCTCCACAGAATGAAGAAAATAAAAGTCTGTCTTTAGCGTATAACCATTTCTTTGGCAGATACGAAACATACATGTGAACAATGTACTAAAATGCACTGACAAGACACTCGTAGATTAATTTCTATAAATTGTTATATCTAAAAACCTTTTTCTCCTCTATAACACCTGAACATTTCAATCTCACGCTGACATTTCACCCAGAAACTCCCTCTCAAACGCTCAAGAACACGAGTGAGAAACACAT